GTCAGTGAAATTATTTATAAGCTTGTTCCTGTGTAGATTTGCTGTCACTCTGTACTTATTCTGGCTCCTTGTTTTATGTATTGTAGTACAAGATACTTGTATCATGGCAGAGTACAGATTTGTTATTTTCATACACTAAAATGTTTATTTTAATCATTTTGGTTATCTTTAAAAATCACATTATTTTGTTTTTAAATAAATTTAAAATCCTGTAATTGAGTATGAAATTTGTGTCTTATCTTTCAAATGTATTCAGTCAATAGTGTTTACTGAGCCACTACCATATGCCAGGTTCAGTGCTAAATATTGTAAAGAAAGTAAACCAGTGTAATATTAACTTCCGAGCTACATGTTTTCTGTGTTTAAAATTATTTTCCACATTTACAGTCTGCAATGAACTATCACCCTTGCATTCTAAATGGCCAAATTTGGATTTTATTTCCTATCAATATCTTTCATCCTTTTTGTTGTCTTGCATCCTTGCCTAAGAATCCATGAGTTTCTCTTCGGAAACTACAGTTGTGAGAAGCTAACTTGCCCAAGATCACAGAGCTCTCTGTTTGCCAAAACAAGGATTCAGACCCTTCTGTGTGCCTCTTCTACTGTGCAGTGTTGCTGTGGCTGTTAATATGCAGGGTCGAGTCTGACTTGGAATTAAATTCTGAACCCATCTAATTAAAATACTGTTTTAGACATACAGGTATTTTAGATATTATCATTTTATTTTGAATCATATAAGTTTGACCCTGTCTATTCTTGACATAATACTATTTTCAAAAGAATCCATACAACATCATAAAAGAAACTTAAGTTTTCCTTTTATCCTTTTCTATATAAGCTGATGCAAAAACTAGCAATAATATTTTGCGTTTTTATAATTTTTGTATTGAGGAGATAGTGTATTTTTTTATTTGGTTCGTTTTAGAGATGTTTTTACATATACAAAGCATGCTATTTATTTTCAGTACAACTCAATCAATCCAAGAATGAAGTATCTTTAAAAGAGGTCAGCTTATTAAGAACACGTCACGCATACTTCCTCAGTCATACGAAGCAAAACTGCATGTATTACTCACTATTTGACAAACATAACTGAGCCCAAGCTTCTGTCTTTCTCACTCCAAGGTGAGAAGGCTCCATTGTCATTTGAATAGTTTGTCTCTCAGTCCCTTCACCATTTCCTTGCTGTTCTCCCCTCTGGGGAGATCCTTCACCACACTTAAGGCTCCCATTGCCCTGTAGTTCTCATTCCCTCTCCCTGATCACATAGATGAAGAGCTGATACATTCATGAACTTCCTGTGCTTTCGAGGCAGTGTGCCCTGTAGAAACCTTGGTTTTCAGAGTCAAACTGCAGCTCTCTTATTAACTTTGCAACCAATGGCAACTGACACCATCTCTCTGACTCTCCTTTTCCTTATCTCTTGAATGTAGCCATGAATTTTAAATACCAAATTTGGATTTTATTCGGTGTTAATAGCTTTCATCCTTTTTGTTATCCTGCATCCTTTCTATCTTTGGAATATGGAGAAGATGAAATAAGACAGTATATAAAAAGTGATTAGCATAGCACTCTATTTTATTATTATTATTGGTGGAGTTATTCTTTCCTGAACCTTATGCATACTAAAGTGTTATTTAATCTTTAAACTTTTATGGTATCTTTAATTATGACATGCAGGACATTTTCCTCTCTTAAATGAATTTCAGCCAACAATAACCAGGGGCGGACATTTGGTTGGGACAGCACATGAGCCACTGACCTTGGCTAGCATTTTAGAGTTATCTGGGATTGGTAGTGGGAGAAGGGATGATATGGTGGGGCACAGGAGGGCTGCGTATGGTGCATGGTCTTATTCTCCTCTCTTCCCCTTTCTCTTGGTGGAACTACTGAGCCTATTGCAGGGGGAGTCTCACAAACTGTTAAAAATGAGAAAGCCTGGGACCCTTCTCCCTAGCCCTTGAACCTAACTTACCCTAGGCCTAGACTGCCACCTGGCTGGGCCCCTCCTTTCAGGCTGTCCCTGTATGAATACAGGCCTACTCAGTATCACTTGGCCTCTCGGTTACGTGCCCTAAGGCTTCCTTTGTAAAACTGTAAGCTTTCTGCAGTGTGATATTTTGCCAGCATTCTGTTTGATTTTTTAATGCATAGTTTTAAAAAGTTTTCTGCACGCCTGTTACCAGCACAACTTTGAGCTAGCTGCTACACAAGATTCAAAAAAGTGTAAAATATATGAAATGGTTCCTTTTGATTAAGCTTACAGTGAAAATGAGGACATATAACCAAAAGTCAGAAGCAAATAGGAGGCAGAATGTTACAGGAGAAGGGTTGGCTGAGCTGGGGCTGGGAAGGGGCCGAGATGGTAGGATCAAAGGGGGCTGAGATACCACTCAGCTGGAAGGAATCTGGAAAACTGGGATAGCATTTGGTCTAGTTCTTCAAAGGTGAGTATAGTTGGGAGGAAAAAATTGTGACTCGGTGAAGAGTGTAGATTTTAGGCAAAGGATGTAAGTGAAGTTATAGAGCTGGGAAAATGCAGGGCAGGTTTTAGTTTGAACTCAAAGTACATGAGGGAATATTGTAGAGGATAGCGCTAGAAGAATCTATAAGTCAGATCCTGCCCTCCCCTCACCCCCTCACTCAAAACTCACCTATGGCTTCTTAGTTAGAGAAAAAGCCAGTCCCTATGAGTTGGAATTGCCTCAAGGGCAATGGCTTTGGTTTTGGTTTTGGATAATGGCCTGGCTTGTGGTTAAGCGCTCGGCTGCTAATCAAAAGGTCGGTGGTGCGAACCCACCAGCCACCCCAGGGGAGATAGATGCGGCAGTCTGCTTCCATAAAGATTACAGCCTTGGAAACCCTAAGGGGGCAGTTCTACTCTGTTCTGTAGGGTCCCTATGAGTAGGAATAGACTTAATGGCAACGGGTTTGGTTTTGGTTTGGTTATAGTGGCCTATAAACTACTACACAACCTTCCCTACCACCCCCACCTCTGTTTCCTTCTACTCTCTTCCTTGTTCCTCCTTCTCTAGCCACACTGGTTCCTGTTGTTCCTTGATAGTGCCGAGCACGCTCCCACCTGTCCTCCCAGATGCCTCTGTGCTCACTCCTCACTTCCTTGAGGTCACCTTTGTCAGAGAAGCCTTTCCTAACTCAGTATCACACATCCTTCTACTCCTGCCACACCCCCTTTCCCTTACCTTGTTGTATTTGTCTTCATAGTACTTATCCTATATACTTGCTTATTTATCGCCTGGTCTTCTGCAAGGGAGAGGATTTACTCACTGCTGTATCCCCGGCACCCAGGACAGTGCCTGGCACATAGCTGGTGATCAAATATTTGTCAGTCAGAAGAAGAAAAAACGAGAGCAGGAAGGAGGGTGTGAGTGAGGGAAGGGGTTGGAAATAGATCCTACAGGATCTTGGGTTCCAGGCAGGGGAGTAAAAATTAAACTCATTTGTCAGTGGGTAGCCACTGAAAGGTTTGAACAGGGAGTGAAAGCAAAAGCATTTAGTTTGAGGAAGATTAGTTTGGCAATGATGTGTTGCATGGATATTTTAAAAGTGGATATTGACCCTCCTCCCCACTCCCCAATCCAGCACTCTGGAACATAGCTGTATGTGCTTTGTTTGTCTTTAAATAACTATTTATTTTGAAATAGTTTGACTTACTAGAAGTTGGTAAAATAAAATAGCAAATTCTCTTCATGTACCCTTCCCCCAACTTCCCCTAATGATAATGGCTTGTATAATCACTTTACATTGTCAAATCTAGGAAAACGACCTTGGTACAATACTGTTAACTCAAGTACACCTTATTCAGATTTCATCAAATTTTACGTGTGTTTTTTTTATGTATAGTTTTATGAAATTTTATCACTCGTGTATTGGTGTTATTAGTTGCCATTGAGTCAGTTCTGACTCATAGCGACCCAAAGTGTGCAGAGTAGAACTGCACTCCATAGAGTTTTCAAGACTGTGACCTTTTGGAAGCAGATTGCCAGGCCTTACTTCTGAGGTGCCTTTGGGTGGGTTTGAACTGCCAACCTTTCAGTTAGTAGTGCAGCACTTAACCATTTCCTTTTTCAAATCCACCAGCAGCTCTTTGGAAACCCTGTGGGGCAGTTCTACTCTGTCCTCTAGGATCGCTGTGGGTCTGGATCGACTTGATGGCAACTGGTTATATCTGATTTTGATGTTTTTGGCAAAGTGTTAGAGAATATTTTTTCTAAAACCACTCCCCTGGTTCTTGGTCTCCTTTCACTGACATATGAATAAAGTGGATAGCGTCTTTGTCTTTATTCTTTGGCATTGTGTTTCTTGTAGGGTAGCTTTTCTTTTCTACATTAAAGATGGTTGTAAATAATATTTCACCAGTGTTGACAAACCATATTATTTACCAGGTCCTAATTTTATATTTTAATTTTTAAATCAGTATATTACATTATTCTTTATCTCTATTGGTATTTGTCTCCTTAGTAACCCTTCATATCCTTTCTGATAGTAAAATACTTCTATAAGACTATTAACAGGATTCTAAATTGTTTTTTTTTGCCTGTCCAGCCCTACCAATTACAAGTAATGTGTCAATAATTTCAGAATTGGTAAGGGTGGTGGATGGGAAAGAGATTAACTAAATTGTTTAAAGCCTTTTATTGATTCTTTTAATAACTTCAAACATTTTTAGATATTCTACTAACCATATTATTTCCCTAAAAGCTTACCTTATTAGTTTTTACAAATTATGGGACATATTTGTCTTCATTCAAGTTGTTTGTAGACTTTCCAAACAAAGTGTTAAAATTTAAATCTTCCAGTTTAATTTCTGCAGCTGTGCTCTATGTTCTGTATATATGCTGTATATACTTAAATGTTGCTGGTGTTCAGGGTGGTAACTGATGGTCATCAATAGGATGCTGGATTAATATGCAGGCCTATGTATGATAGCTGAAGAAGAACAAAGGTCTGTCTGAATATGCTTGATATATTTCTTACAGGTTCTGAGTTCTATCCGGACGGAATGGAACCCACTGGATGTTCATTTTGGCACCAAACAGCCTTATCAGGTGCTCACAGTAGAGGGCTCCATCAGTGGAGACAAAGAGCCCATGGCTGACAGCTGTGTTTATGAGTGTGTTCGGAACAAGATCCAGTGTGTGTCACTCACCAGAATACCACTAAGATCGAAGGCCATCAGCTGCTGCAGGAATGTTACTGAAGACAAACTGATTCTAGGCTGTGAAGATTCTTCGGTAATTCTTTATGAAGCTCACCGTAGAGTGACGCTCTTAGTCCAGGCTGATCTTTTGCCTTCATTAATAAGCTGCCACCCAAGCGGCGCCATTCTGATAGTTGGCAGCAACCAAGGGGAGCTGCAAATTTTTGATATGGCTCTGTCCCCTATTAACATCCAGCTCTTGGCTGAAGACCGCTCACCCAGGGCAACGCTGCAATTCAATAAATACTTTGATGTTGCCAGTAGTCTTGTTCAGATGCAGTGGATAGCACCTCAGGGTGTTTCTCAGAAGCCTGAAAGTGAGGACATTTATGATCTCCTCTTCCTTAGGTTTGACAGAGGACCTTTGGGTGTGCTTTTGTTTAAATTTGGTAAGTCAAGGAAGTTGGTGAGTAAGTAATTAAAGTATTTATTGGTACTGACATTATAATTAAGGTAATAAAACTGTTTTTGGAATGCAGTTTTTCTGTTTGCATACTTATTCCCGTAAATGTGCTTGGCTTTCAATCATTTCATATATTTTCCTCAATAAAGCTTTGTGGGTGGTTTCTAAATGTTGAAGGAACACTAGATATTGAAGAATCCAGAAATTGCATTAATTTGTCCATTGCCATGATTAAAAAGCCTGAGCTTTCAAACTTGATGCTTTCCAAAATAAACTGTCTTACTAAAATAAACAAACTGTAAGACATACTATGTGAATATTTAAAAGGTGCTTACAATGTCCATTAAAAAGCTCTGTGTTGTAGGAATATAATACTTTTTCTATAAAAATTATTTTAGATTATAGGTGTCTATTACTTCCCAGATTGGAATTGTGCAAAACAAATATTCTAAAAGTAGGAAAAGCAGATGTTTAGTTAGAATTTACTGAAGCTATTTATATAATTTATTGCTTTTGTTTCCCTTTTGGATAAAATATTCAAAAGAATTTATCAATATCTCTGAAAGTTATACATTAATTTTGCCCATTTCAACCAGGATACTTTAAAAAGAAATTTTAATATTATGAGTCATTTGTCTTTTGTAAGCTTATGTTTTACATTACTGGCTATGCCCTGAAATATGTGATACACTTTGTAAGTACTTTTGTATAATTTAACATTCTTGAGAGAACCTCATATAGATTTAAAAAAAGATTTCAATTAATGCATATGATAGCTACTTGCAAACATAGAAAAGTAAATACATTTTAAAACTCCTTACAGGATTTGACTCTGAGGTAGAGAGTTTTAAGTTTTTTTTATGAAATTGTAGTGTTTGTTAAACGGCTGCCAGTTGACTTTTTTTTTTAATGGATCTATTTGACTCTAAAGTTGAACACATGAAAACAACCTAGTAAAAATGATTTGATTAACCTGAAAGATATAATGAATATAATGTGACAGCTATGTTCTTTCCACTTAATAAAAATGCAACTAAATCTATTCGTAATGTCAATACTGTCCAAGAAAAAAATGTTTGTAATCTCATTTATTATGAGATAATCCAGGTCTACTGTGCCCAACTACATGTTTAACAGTTCTACGTCTTCATGCGCAACACTAATTAAAGTGGATGTTTGATGTTTCGCATGTCTGTTAAAACACACACAGACACACGTGCATGCCTGCACACACACACATACACACTCACATCCTCTAAATTACCTATTTACCTGTCAAACAGAAGGCTATCTGCCTACGTACACCTAGCTTTTCTTTAGTCTTCCCTTGTGGGCCTACTCACAACAGCTTTGCAAAAAGCACAGCTTTCTCTTCCTATCTCTAGCACATTTGCTTTCTTACTAAAGTAAACAGGCTCACTGTAGGGATTTAGAGGGCTTCCTGCTAATTGCCAGCTTGTAAACTTAATTGGACTGTCTCCCTGGGCACTGTTCCTAAATCAATTAGGCAATGAGTTGGCTGTCACCTCTTTTTTCCAAGAAGGTCTCTTGGAAGAGAATTATCCAATCGAAGTCAAGCATTCAAATGAAAAGGTGGTAATTTCTGCCACTGACATTTATCATTTAAGTTTTATTTTTAATATGACTCTTAAGTTTTATAGGATAGGGAAAATTTACAGTCTTACAGGCTCTCTTAAAGATCTAAATATGGAGTTTCAAACAACTGTTTTAAAATTTTTGGTTCTCATTTTTAATTTATTATAAGATTAATGTTTATTACAAATTATGTATTTTTCCTAAGAAGAGTGGGTTCTTTGGAACAGTAGATTCCAGCTAGTAACTTTTTTTTTATTTTTTAAGAAAATCCGGTTTAAAGAACAGATTTTCTTAGGATTTGCTACTAAATACATCCAAAAAATTTAATATACTTCTTGAATTAACACAGTGCTGATTCTGGGCATCCATGTGGAATTTTCATGTATAATTCAAGTTACTGCATATATAAACAGGTAGTTGCATGTGCGGTTTCCCCACTAGGGAGTATTTATGAGATTTTTTTTCAGATGCTTGTTATGCAAGCCTTTGGAAAATTTGACATGAAAGGTGTAGCTTACGATTTAGGAAGCTGAGAGATACAGATCATAGTTTAAAATAGAATGCTGTCATATATGAACATTGCAGTGGCTGGTGCCAATAGGCTAAGATTTTTGGAGTTTGACTCTTAGATTAGGTCAGTTAATGTCATGCTGAAGGAAAACTTTGTTCCAAGACTACAGCTTTCCATTCTTAATCCTGACTAATCACTGCACAAGTGCATGGTCACACAGGCGTTAGAGGCCATTGCCTCTGTTATTGGAAGAACAATGCAAACAGCACATCATCCTCAGGAGGAAGCAAGAAGTATAATCCTCCCACATGGAAGTCAAAGGTACTGTTTTATATGGAGCAATATATATTCAGAAGTTCCTTACCTGACAATCATTATCATATTTCCACACATAAGGCTGAGACTAATTTTAACAAGAGGCCCTAATTATTCTACTGAGTTATTAAAGCTCATTCGTTCTTACCTGTACCTTTTGCAACCTTTACTGCACTCTTTAAACTCACATGACCAGCTCCCTGCCTTCTCAACAGAGGATCTCACATTTAATTGGAACTTCATTAAGTTCCTTTGCTCTTCAACACCCTACCCATCAACCAACCAACCAACCAGCCACTTATCTACATTTTATTCTGTTTTTCAAAATTGTTTTGGCTACTCTAGATTCTTTGCATTTTTATATGAATTTTGAAACCAGCTTGTCAGTTTCTATAAAAACAGCTGGTGAGATTTTGACTGGTATTGAATCCAACTGGATGTTAAATCTATAAATCAGTTTGGAGAGGAATGACATCTTAACAGTATTGAGTCTCTCAATTCATGAACAGTTATCTCTCTCCCTTTATTTAGGTTTTCTTTCATTTCTCTGCTAGAAAAAGATGTGGCAGTCTGCTTCCATAAATTAGGTACAGCCTTGGAAACCCTATGGGGCGGTTCTGCTCTGTCCTGTAGCATCACTATGACCTGGAATCAGCTTGACAGCAATGGAGGTTTCATTTGTCTCAGCAATGTTTTAGAGTTTTAAATGTAAAGATCTTGTGCATATTTGGTTAAATTTATCTCTAAGTATTTCATGCTTTTGGATTCTATTGTAAATATTTTTAATTACAATTCTTAATTGTTCATTTTAACTACATAGAAATAAAATTTTAAAATACTGACCACATATCCTGCAACCCCATTAAACTCATTTCTTAGTATTAGGAACTTTTTTGTAGTTCCTTAGGATTTTCTACATAGATGATCATGAAAGCTACAAATACAGTTTTATATCTTCTTATCCAACCTGTATACCTTTTATTTCTTTTTCTTCCCCTATTGCACTGGCTAGGACCACCAGTGTAGTATTGAATGTAAGTGATAAAAGAGGACATCTTAGCTTTGTTTGAAATCTTAGGTGGAAAATATTATGTTACCAGGTTGAGGCAGCTCCCTTCCATTCCTAGTTTTCTGAGATATATTATCTTGAGTGGATGCTGAATTTTTTCAAATGCTTTTTCTGCATCTATTGAGATCATTATACAGTGAAATCTGTGAGTGTTAGAACTCAGTGGGGCTGCCTTGTTTTTATGGGTCTCGCAAGTTTTCCGCCTTTGACGGTGCAATCTTACCACTTTTCTTTTACCTGTTTTGGTGGAAAATGTTTGAGTTTTCTTTCTATGATGGATTTCCGCCTTACACAGGTTCTGGCTTTCACAGGTTTTACTGTATGTTTTTTCTTTTTGCCTTTTGGTATATGGTGACTTTTATTGACTGGTTTTTAGATATTTAAACAACCCTGCACTTCTGGAATAAATCTCACTTGTTCATGATGTATTATCTTTTCTGTATATTGCTAAACTTGCTAATATTTTATTATGGATTTTTGCATCTGTTTGTGAGAGATGTTGATCTTTAGTTTCTTTAATTATGTCTTTCTCTTATTTTGATATCAGTGTAATGCTAGCCTCAAAAAAAAAAATGAGTTGGTAAGCATACCTTCTCTTATATTTTCTGGAAGAGTCTTGTAGACTTGATATTATTTCTTCCTTTAATGTTTGATAGAATCACCAGTGAAGCCATCTGGATATACAGGGTGTGTGTGTGTGCTCTGTTCTATTGTGGTCAGAGAATACATTCTGTATGATTTCAAAACTTTCATATTTGTGGAGGCTTGTTTTCATCACCCAGAGTGTGCTCTATCCTGGTGAATAATATATGCACACTTCAAAAAGAATGTGTATTCTTTTGCTTGGTGGAGTGTTTTATAAATGTCAGTTAGGTCAAATTCATCAATAGACGTGTTTTACTGATTTTCAGTTTATATGTTTTCTCAATTAGTGGGAGAGAAGTGCTGAAATTTTCAACTATAATTGTAGATTTGGCTTTTTATCCTTTTCATTCTGTCAGTTTTTGCTTTATGTATTTCAGAACTCTGTTATTCAATACATTTAAAGTTGTTATTTTTTAAAATTAATTGGTCTTATAAGAGTATAGAATTTTAGGTTGATTTCTTTTTTATTTCAGCACTTGAAAAATATCTTACCATTGTCTTTTGGTTTGCATATTTTCAGATGCAAAATCTGTAATCCTTCTTACCTTTATTTCTCTGTACATCATGTATCTTTTTTCCCATGGCCGCTTTTAAGATTTTCTCTTTATCACACCTTTTGAACAGTTTGATCATGTTGTATGTTAGCTTAGTGTGTTTCATGTTTATTTTGCTTGGAGTTTGTTGAACTGCTTGGATCTGTGAATATATGGCAGCATCACATTTTGAAAAATTTTAGCCATTATTTCTTCAAAAATTTTTTCTACCCCCCAGTCTCTGTCTTTCTTCTCCTTCTAGGTCTTCAGTTATGCTCTTATAAGACAACTTCTATTGGCCTATAGATTACTGGAGCTTTTTTAATATTTGTTAGTCATTTTTCTCTTTCTGCTTCAGTCTGGATAGTTTCTGTTGCTATATTTTCAACTTTACTAATCTTTTCTTCTGCAGTATAATCTCATTCAGTGAATTTCTCATTTCAGATATTGTATTTTTAATCTTCTGAAGTTTCTTTAAAATAGACATAAATATTTGTGTGTGTATGTGTATATATATATATGTCTTCCATTACTCTCTTCTTTATGCACATGTTTTCCTTTACATACTTGAGCATGTTTATAATAGTTGTCTAAAAGCCTCATCTCATGCTCCGTCATCTGTGTTATTTCTGTTTATATTTCCATTGACTGATTTTTGTCTTAGTTATGGGCCACATTTTCCTGCTTCTTGGCACATCAGATAATTTTGATTGGATCCTGAATATTATGAATTTTATATTTTCAAATGCTGAATTTTGTTTGTTTTTTTCAAATAGTGTTGGACTTAGTTCTGGCAGGCATTTAAATTACTAGATTAACTGATAGTTTGATACTTTCAAGGTTTATTTTTAAGCTTTGTTATATCTTTGTTGTTATTAGTTGCCTTCCAGTCAATTTTGACTCATAGTGACCCCATGTGTACAGAGTGGAACTGCTTCATAGGGTTTTCAAGTCTGTGACCTTTTGGAAGCAGATTACTAGGCCTGTCTTCCAAGGCTCCTCTGGATGGTTTTGAACTGCCACACTTTCAGCTAGTAGTCGAGCACTTAGCCACTTGAGCCACCCAGAATAGCATTTATTCTGGGATAGTTCAACCATGCTTCTAAACTGTGACTTTTTTGGGTATTTACTGAATATTCTGGTATTTAAGGAGGATTCTCTACCCTGAGTGGTCAAAACATGAATGAATCCTAGCTGTCTATGATCTCTGGGAATTATTTATCTTATAGCTTCCTTGTTATTTTGTCCAACCTCATGAAGTTTTGTACAGCTTAGTATTTATCAACAGATTCAAGGGGACTGCTATGTACATTGTTGGAGTTCTCTCTTTACATCTCTCTGCTCTCTGGTTCTCTGCCTTACAAATTCCTGCTGCCTCAACTTCCTATAACTTTATTCTTTGTCTCTTTAACTCAGCAAGATTACTTTGCTCTGCTTGACCCCCACCCCCACCAGCACCACAGCCTAGAAAGTTCCTCTAGACAGAAAGAGGGCAATTCTGAGTCTTAAACCTAGTTTGTTTCCTTTCGTTCAAGGTTATAGTCCTTTGCTGCTCGCTCTCCAGTATCTCACCATAATCACTTTATTTTGTCCAGTGTTCTAGTTGTTTACAGTGAGAGTGTAAGCTTGGTTTCAGTTACTCCATCATCATGTCATGAAGCAAAAATCTGATAATGGACTTCTATTTTGTATTAATAAAATCTAAAAATCTAACTTTAAACAAAGTCAGAAGCAAAAGGTTCAGGGTAACTCCAAATTTTAGACAAATAGTAATAAATCTGGGCCCTACTAATACAAAGTTTTAATGACTCTAACAAATACATTTTTATTAAGTAAAAATAAGTTATTTTTGAGTATGTAAGTCACAGCATCTCATTTGTTAACTTTATTTTTTATTAAAATCTATGTATCTTAATTTGTAATTTATCTTGTATTTAAACAAAATGAATTATCCTTAGACTGTTTGTTTCCTTAATTATTTGACACTTTGGGCATTTTAGTGGCTCTCTTATTGTTTATGCTGATGTGCACAGCAAAATGTGCTCTATGAAACTACAGATATGACCTGAACTACTCTGGATGATACTTTTCCTCTCAACAAGTCAGTTCTTTCTCTTGCTTAAGGTATAGGTAGAGACAACAAATTTCAGATATTTTCTGTTTTCTGCAAAGTTCCTACAGGTTAATATTGCTGCCAAGGAACTACCCAGATTTATGAGGACTTCTAGTACTGACTAGAGGTTCTGGAAGGCTTTTGGACAGTAACATTTGTTGATTCTACCAACACACACACACAAAAAAAAAACAGTAAAGTTTTACTGCTTAGTATAGTCAGGGCAATTCTCCAGATTCCCTATCAAGTTGAGTTCTGTTTGATACTAGCAGAAGTCCTTATTTTAATGTGACTAGAGTTAATATGAAGGATTTTAGCATCTTTCTCAAGAACTAATACGTATATATATATATTTTAAATCTTGAAACCTATAACTATTCTAGTTAAATGATGATGATAGTAATAAAAAGAACAATTGCAGTAATATTTTATAGTACTTTATAGCTTACAAAGTAATTTCACATTTCCTCATTTAGTTTTACAGTTACTTGTACTGAAATGTTTAGTAGTCTCAAATCAGTAAATGTGTTTTGCTGAAGAAAATAAGATTTATAGCCAGCCATTTTTATATTTAAAATTAAAAATCTGCTTAAAAGTCTTAGTACTTATTGTCATTTAATTACACAGAAATTGTTAGTTTTACATGAGATCAGCCATCTTTAAAGACGATAAAACCAGAACAGAATGCCCTCTTCCCCTTTGGTCCTCTAAGATTAGAGGTGGGTTTTCTTTTATTTTAAAAGGATAACAAATATATTTGTATTGTACCAAGATGTTTTATAGCAAATATTTGCTGTGAATGCAATCAATAGTAGGATTGCTTCTGATCATTTCTTACTTCAGCAGAAGAGAGTAACTGCCAAGTACCAATTTAAACTAAACTGGTATGTGGTAACTATGAAGAAACGATCACTTCAGAGAACTCATTAATAAAAACAGGTTTAAAAGCATTCATATAATCACATTATTATCCATAATATTTGTCATGGATGTTTGTACTTTTTCCCCCCATTCTAATTAGCCCATTTTAAGAGCTGATTGCATGGGGCTGAAGACTGAGTGCAACTTAGAACTAATGATGCTGACAAGTAGGAATTGTATGTCTTTGTAGGTCTCAAATAGAGGCCTAGATGACTGATAGGAAAAGCAGGATTAGCGCTTGTGACCCACCTAAAAAATTCTTCTCATGTTTTTTCACTTTTAGTTTGGGCAGTTTCGTTATGTACGTGTAAATTAGTTAATAAGTACTGAAGGATAAGTATAAGCTAAATGGAAGTGGTGGGTGGTATTTAAAATGAACATTTAACCACAGAGCCATGTCATCCTTGCCCCAAAATATCCCACATTTATAGCACAGTTGCAAGAAATAATTACTGGTTTTTACTTTATGGAAAAGTTAACTCTGTTATTGTTATTCTACTTTTTATTTTAAAACATTCACCAAGTTTTATATTTTTTGGTGACAGGTATCTTTACACGAGGACAGCTGAGCCTGGTGGACATAATCTTCCAGTACATTCAGTGTGATGAGATCTGTGAGGCAATAAACATCCTAAGCAGCATGAACTGGAACACTCTGGGCCACCAGTGCTTTATCAGCATGAGCGCCATTGTAAACCATCTTCTCAGACAAAAGCTCACTCCAGAGAGAGAAGGTCAGACTTGAGATAGTTTTCATAAATGGGTTATGTATATACATGAAGTACATTTTATTGAGTCAGTTTTTTTTCTTAGTTAATGTTTTCGTATTATGTTATCAAAGATTAAAAGACAAAAATATTAATGCTTTATTAAAGCCGAAAGAATCAGGTATCAAATAATCACTCCCATATCATACCTACTGTGTAGTATTTGTCAACAACTTTTCTGTATATGGTTATTTTGGAACTCACGATACAGTCATTGTACATTTGAGTCTAAGCTTATGTGTGGAATATGCTCAGATTTCAAACTTTAATGAGGAATTTCATGTACTCACTAGAGTCTGGTAGACAAAGGACCCCAAACAAAGGTCCTTATTTCTCCTTCACTTTAGATATCAACATTTTTCTCTTATACTTAAAGTCCTTACCCAGACAATAGTCCTTTCCAGTCACTTTAAAAAAAAAATTTTTTTTGCCAGGTTTGCAGCCCAGGCTGCTCCTTGCTGTTTCAGTTCTTTTAACTTGGGACTTGTCCTGACTCAGAGTCCCACGATAAGTATTTATTTACTGTATTCTTATGCAAATAGCGTGGTTTGCTAGCATAGTGCACTTATGAAAATCCCTGCTGGGGATGGGGGGAGGGTGTGGCTGGTAACAAACGCATTATTTGTGTAAAACTAGTGTGGTGAGAGTTGAATGTGCTTTTGAGAGGAAGTCCAATTCATCTGTGAACATTCCGTTATTTCTACAATGGGGAAATGCCTGGCACCATGCTTAGCACACAGTAGGTACTCAATGAATATTAGTTAAAAATAAAAAGAAGAGTATAATTTGAAGATTTTAAGGTACTATGTATTACTGCAATATTTCTGCCTGCAGGGCTATCTCAATTATTTTTTAGTATTGGTACATTCTCAAGATTGAGTACCTACAGAAAAAAAAAAAATACAGAGTCCCCAAAGAATCATGTTATGGTATACACTATCTAAACTTACAGTTGAAGAAGAAATATGAAGAAGATAAAATACTGACTCTCACTCAGGACACTGAGGAACTGCTAGCACCTTAGTGAATTTGTGTTGTAAGAAAGATTATTAGGGACTTCACAAATGGGTGTTAGCAGATTCTTGCCTTAATAAAGGATATTTTCACGGAAACCTACAGAAGAGACAGAGAAATAAAAAGCTTGTGTGGTACTAGGCTATTAAAATAAAAAGGCTTGCATGATGCTGGATTATCAGAATATGTACATTTTAAGTAGATATGTGCATTTTTCCCCAGGTAACTGCACAACACGTTTCTCAAACATTCAGAATTCTTCTCCTTTGGGATGTATTCTATCTGAATCTAACAAATTTGACATGGTAATTTATTTTTCTTTTATTAGTGGAACCCAGTGAGCTCTTTTATTTGTCGCAGCTTTGTGCTTATCTTGGAGATCTGCATTTCTGTCTTAAACATCAAGCTGGGCTATCTAATGAATCTATAACTGTGCTGGGAGTTACCCGTATTCCAAGTCGGCTTGAACATTTCAGATATACGAAACATGCGGTCAAGAAAACAAGCAATGGCAAGAGAATCTGGCTTGTTTTCACAATAGCATTGCTGTATTCAATTTTAATCTAAATTGACTGCCACTCTGAAAAAAAATACCCCCAAAGTTCATCTTACTTTACTGTCTAGATTTTAGATTTAAAAAAGTAATTACCAACAGCTTAGCCAAGTCCATGGCAATTATTCTGATGAGATATTTAATACTTTCAAACCCAAAATATGCCTAAAACTGAAGAGTTTTGCTGTAAGGAATTGTTTATTCAACCCAGTGCTTCTTGTTGTGCACCATCGAGTCCATTCTAACTCATAGTGACCCTATATGACAGAGTAGAACTGCCCCATAGGGTTTCCTAGGCTGTAATCTTTATGGAAGCAGACTCTCCACATCCTTTCTCCTGCAGAGCAGCTGGTGAATTCAAACCGCCAACCTTTCGGTTAGCAAGCCAGTGCTTATCCCTTGTGCTACTAGGGCTCCTCACCCCAGTGCTAAACCAAAACAAAAAAACCAAACCCATTGCCTTCGAGTCAATTCCGACTCAGCAACCCTATAGGATAGAGTAGAATTGCCCCATGGGGTTTCCAAGGAGCAGCTGGTGAATTCTAACTGCTGACCTTTTGGTTAGCAGCTGAGTTCTTAACCACTGAGCCACAACTCAGTGCTAGTAGCATAAAAATCAGTGGAGTCTTAAACTGTGAACTGTAGTGTTCTCATACATACTAATAACTCTCACCGTTATGGTAATCGCTTAACTTCCAGGTATTTCTGGGAAGAAACACATTGTGAAATAGGCAAAATGAGCCTTTCTCCTGCCAGGACTGGTACCTCAAATACCAGGTACTTAATGTTCCCACAGTCTCTAGCCCTCTGGGTTATCAAAACCTGCTCTCCAGTTCTTGTTGCCCAGGAAAGTATCAGTTGACTGAGCAGTTTCACATGTCATCCCTTCCAGGGTTATTAGTTAGCTTTCAGACTTTGACAAAACCAGAATCTTGTTGACGAGAGCAAGATTTAAGGAAGATAGAGGGAATGTCACTGTCATTTAAAAGACTGTAATAGATACCCTTACTCCAATATGGCTAATTTTATTTGTATTATTTTAAAAACATTTCTACTGTATTGACTGCAATTCACAGTGGGGAAAGGTTCATTTTCTCCTTCCAGCTAAAGAGAGCAAATGTTGTGCACAATGTGAGTTGATTTTACTGGAAATACTAGTTCAAACTGTGTTACTCTGATGAGTCACTGTTTTAATTACCCATTTGTGGTGAGAGGTTGGTTCATTACGGATTTCTTCAGTTTTGACAGCTTTTTGTTGCTCAGAGTCATTGTCAGCTTTGCCTCAAGTGAAAGTTTATACACAGGTTTGTTTTTGTACCAGCTGTCATATTTTAATTTCATCTTTCCTGCAACAAGCTCACATTTCATCCAAGTTTGAAAAACCTGACTGACTGCAAACATGAGTATTCTGTTGTAATTGAAGGAGTTTCACTTGTTTTAGTGCTGCTATGTTTGAATTCCACAGCACAGCTTGAGGCAAGCCTTGGAACCTTCTATGCTCCAACAAGACCACTCCTGGATACAACTATATTGGAATATAGAGACCAAATCAGCAAATATGCAAGGAGATTCTTCCACCACTTGCTCAGGTGAATGATATCTTTGAATGGATTAGTGTCAAACTAATCACCTATTTTAGAATCCATCTTCTTTAAATAGAATACTCCAGAATGAGGCTATTCATTTTCTAACAGCCCATCCCCTAAGAGAAAAACAAATCTCTTAATATTCTTTATTTAACTTGCTCTTTTTTTTTTTAAAGGAATATAATTGAATATTGTTTAGGGCTTTTCCATCATCACTTGAATATAACTGCCCCTTTAATATGGTGGCAAAAAGACCAGCTATGTAAAGTGAATTTTAAAGTATTAACTTGATTTGCTTCTAAGTACTAGAGAAATTGTTTAGTTTTAAAGGAAGCTAAAAATACGAATGCTCTGAGACAGTCATTGGTTTGCTTTATTTTCAGAATTACTGTAGAAAGATTTGTCCATTGTCCTGTAATATAATGCGGCAAGTTCCTTAGCTTTACTGTGCCTCATTTTCTCTGCTTTAAATGAGTATGATACTTTCCTTTAACTTCAGGGATTGTGTGGAAGAATTAGATAATAATGTCAAGAAATTACTCTGAGAAAAACATTGTGAAGTTGAGGGGCAAGTTTATACAGCATACTCCATTTATATAAAGGTCAAAAACATGATGAATGAGTGGTTGGATGGCTACTTAGTTTAGGGATACAAATATGGTAATACTATAAATAAAAGGAAGTGATTAACAGAAAATTCAGGATAGTTTCGGGGTAGGTGAAGAGAAATATGAAAGGAAGAGGCACATGGGAGCCTCAAGGTATAAGTAATGTTCCATTTCTTAAGATGAGTGGGGGTATATATGGTAGTGCATTAAATTATTACTCTTTTAATTGTGTGTGTACATTTTGAAATGTCTTATATATGATAGATTTTACAATAAAAGTAATAGAATTTTCAACTCCATGTACCAAAAGAAAGTATTACAGCAATGAGTTTATTATAGTTTTATTTTACTAATAATATAATCTGACTGTTAAAGTGTTTTTTACTCTTTCAAAAACTTTCATGTAAATTCTCCCTTCTTTTTTTTTTTTTTTTTTAAGAACAACCCTGTTAAGGGGCTTTTATCATTTGACTAATGAATAAACTGAGTGATGGTTAAGTGGCTTGCTTGGATCAAATAACAAGTTATTGGTGATGACAGATCTTAACCCTGATTTTCTTGATTGCCAGCTCCTTACTTTCTTAAAACTAATGGCCCATCACTGGTTGTGAATTTTTGTCGCTGTGAGTCGGAATTGACTCAATGGCAACTGGGTTTTTTTGTTTTTTGTTTTGTCTTGTAAAATAACTGGATATTGTCATCCATTTAAGAGTAGACTGATTGATGTTCTTGACTGACAAAAAAGGAGGGGGGCGGGCCTTCAGATTAGTCAAGGTTTATGGAGCCCCGTTGTTTTGTGGATATTGATATTCTATAAATAGGTTTCTATTTGTAAAGTGGCACTTTGAACTCTACCCAGCAATGAAACCTTTGGGAAACAGTCTTTCTAGAAGCTCAAAAGTATTAATATGTTGCAAGAGTTTTGATTTGTAATTGAATCTTAACTTCAGCATATTCTAAGAGACTCTTCACCCTGAATAAGGCAAATCTCGAGGAGTGTTGGGTCTGATGTCGCATTTATTTGGACTTAGGGCTTTGTTCTTTGCTACTATTTTGTTTTCTCTGTTTCTGGGTAAAATTAATGAATTCATCTCCTGCCTGAAAAGCCCCCAAAAGATTAACGTCAATGAAACAGGCATTTTGGAGGCATACTATTCGTGATCTCCGCCGTGTCTCTGGCCACTCTTTGTGCAGTGATTTGGTTCTGTATAAGTGTCACGTTTTGTAACCATTCCGCTGGCCCCAGGATGTTTATATTCTGCTGCCAACACAGTCTACTAATGTACAAAGGTTTTTTTTGCTCATTTTGTTTCTCAAATGCAGTTTTCTAATTTTTTTTTTTGGCATACTTTGGTGGGGCAATTAACTATTATTGTTATTATTATTGTTGTTCAACTATAGCTTTTTTTGTGTAGTTACATCTGGAATTGGACAATTTCCCTCCAAGTATACTAGCTTTATCATGTTTCTTTTTTTGCATGCTTTGCTACTATTTCTGTTACAGTGTTATTTGTTCTCCTTGTAACAGTAGGCTATACATAGCATTATGAAAAAAGAAAATGAAGTTCAGAAGAAATTATATGAGATAATTTAAGTTAGAACTATTCTTTTGTTTAAATCTGCTGCCAAGAAAGTCTCCACTTAGGTGGGAAAGAAACAGGCCAAATACCTTTATGTATCTGTACGGTGCTAGAATTGCATCATGCCTGCACTTTGGCTAGCCAATTCTTTAATCCTCTGAAAAGTTATTAGATAGTGGAATAAGTCCTAAACAGTAAAGACCAGCATAGGTAATTTCAAATTAAGATATATATTAATTTTCTTTTCACTGGTCCATACCGTTTAGATATTTAGAGGATTTTCTTTAAATTTGCCTGTTTTTTGTTTAAAGCAAAAGACTGATGAACTTTTTCTGTCATGAAATTTTAAAGTGCTTACATGGAGTTAGGTTAAACTGAAGGACAAAAATGGGGCTTCTGAAAGATGATTTCTTTGCTATTGCTAGTCTCTATCCTTAACCTAGTTTTTAAAAATTACATGTCTTATTCTCTACTTCTTGATCTTTGTCCTTAAAATGACATGTCTCAGAGATACGAAAAAAAAAAAAAAAAAAGATTAGATTCCTAGCCAGTGATTTCATGTAAGAGGTTGAAAAAGATACATATATCTTTGGGACTTGGTCACTCCAAATGGTCAATGGTTCACTGAATGTTAACACCAGAAGAAGACAGAGCGGCATCTATGGCACTCATTTTGCAGATGAAGAAAAGGAGCCCCACAGAGGATAGGGCTGTACCTAAGATCATTCACTGGTAAAGCTGAGGTAGAACTCAGATTGTCTGAGTCCACGTTGGATACTTTTTTTTTTTTTTTAATATTTTATTGTACTTCAGGTGAAGGCTTACAGAACAGATAGTTTCTCA